AAAAACTCAAATATTTCAAAAGAATATGTAATGTATTTAATATAAATTGGTAAACAAATTCAAGGATTCAGAGTTACTGTATATGGTTTTATCAGTAGAATGTATCACAATTATATTTAATAGGGCAACTGTGGCTGAGTCCGCGGAATGCAACTGCTACACGCTTTCGACTTTGATAGTGAAATTACTGCGTGCTATACGTATTTGCTGTATCTAATTGTTTTCTTCTTGAAAACATAGTAAAAGTTGAAATCAAAATAATATGATTTCTGTAGAAATTTCAATATAAACTTAATTAACTGTTAACTGTGTTCATTCAAAATGACTGTTGTTGACACGGTTCATTCTTGATACTCAACAATTAAGCGAGTAAATTATGATTGAATTATTTTTAAAATGATATTTAGGTCAGTCAATTTTCGCATCAAAATATTAAACTAAACAACCGTTTAATGTATCATAAGTTAAACATTCCATGAACATTTATACAAAAACACTACATCACTACTTACATTAGTAAATGCATTTTGGAAAACTATTTACAAAATTAATCACATTCTATCTAATTTATAAATATGCTGGAGGCAAATAGCTTTTCATCGAAGGTCCTGCCCGTCCCAAGGGGGGTAAACTGTCAGACTGAAAAGTCTTTACGTGTCTTTGCTGGGTTTCCGTGTAATGATTCAGATTTTGACCGGCATTTCTTTGTCGTTGAAGAACTTTGTAATTCTTTATCATACCTTGTAGTTCTTCTTGTTGTTCATTCACTGCTCTATGAGTATTACTTTCTTGTTCAAACCTTTCACCGCTTTCCCGTTTATCTTCCCGTAATGGAATGAAGTTGGGTGAGGGTTTGTTCTGATAATTATTGCTATTTAGAGATTTGGGCTTCGTCTTTGCAAGTTCGAAATGATTTTTCATCGCGATGTAATTGAGTACATCGTTCATGTCTAGTTTTTTCTGTAAAGTTTTTAACTCCTTTTGCGGCTTGATAAGAGATTGAATGTGTTTAGGTTTCTCAATCTTAACTTCATTTTTAAAACTATTTTTCTCTTCCTTAGGTTCAGCCTCAAATTTTTCGACGTTTTCTTCTTTTTTACTACGAACAATATTCTTTAAAAATATGTTCCCTTGAAGTAATTCTTCCATGCTCTTTTCTGTTGTTGTGGTTGAAGGATCTTTTGTGAAAGTTATTGGTCTGAAACTACTCTTTTCTTCAGTTTTTGTTATGTCGGTGGATTGTATGTTATTGAAAGTGCTATATTGAAAAGGAGTTGCCGTTGTGGTTCTGCTGATATCATTAAATGGCTGCCAATAATTACTCGGTGGTATGCTTAAATTTTGCTGATTTGTGTTGTGTCTTTCATTATTAATGAAATGTAAGTCAATCGATTTCGTAACCTTTTCGGGTTCATATGCCAGTTCTTCATAATCGTAGGACCGTGTTACTATTTGATTTGGTGGTAGAAAATGTTGCTGTCGAATTAAGCCTGGATATGAATTTGGCGTTGGATTTTTTGGCTGAATTTTTATTTCTTCATTATATTTGTTATTATTGTTAATGCTCTCGGTTGATGTAGAGTATACATGTTCAGTTCTCAAGGTAGAATAGCCATTGCTGATGTCCGGTTGAGTTTGTATATTATTCATGTTTTTAAAATCCTGGTTATTATTTGTATATGAATACATATTGCTCTTTGGAGTCGAATATTCGATTTGCTGGTGTTCGTTTTCATTATAATTTTTCATTGTACTTGTAACAAAATTAGGAACTTGAGTCACTATTGAACTTGGAGTAGATGATGGAAAGGTTTTTAAACTATTATCATATACTGGACCTTCATTTTGACCTAAAAATTGTCTTTGAATCATATCTGTATATTGTTGCGGAGTCATGTCATTAAAGTTTATAATAACGTCATCTCCCTCAGCAAATGATCGTGATATTGTATTTTTGTTTGGATTTTGCTCAGCGTTATTAACATTCATACCGTATTGCCACCTCCAAAACGGTTTGTTTTCTTGATCCATATCTCTTGAGTTAGCCTCATAGTTCATTATTTGTGGCAGTGTTTGTTTTTCTACTGATATTGTCCTTGATGGTGATTGTTGCGATGGTGACGATGAAGAGGGATTCCGAGTACCCTGTGAAGCTGAAAATGTTATTTGTGGCGATATTGGGTTTGATTTGGCTTTACTTAATTCCACAGCAATATCAAAGTTTGTTTTTGGTATGTGAGAAGTTGCTGCAGTTACAATTTGATTATTTTGTAAGTTAGAATTTTGTGCAAATCCAAATGAAAACGCTTCTGGAGTTTTTCCCGTAAATAATCCCCGAGTAGGTGCATAATGTGAACTCTTATCTGCTACGTTATTTTCGTTGTCTGAATCATTGTCCTCCCAAGAAGATCTCATGTTCGGAGGTCTTCTTGCCTCTTCAGCTAAGTTATACTGAACAGCTCTGTAAAAGAAATAGGTTTTGGTCGTCTTCAATTGAATCAACAATATATATATATAAATTTAATATATTAATATTTATTACCTCTGTATGATTTCCGGTATTGGTGGTGGTGATGGAAGATGATCTCCACTGGCTCGATATCCGTTAGAATCTGCTATGTAATGGACTGTATAAGTTTGTCCATTATCGCCGACATAAGAGTATGAGCCTTCTACTACTTGTTCTTCTTTGCCAGAGCCCATATTTTCCATGCGACTATGTTGCACGTAATGGGTCTGATCTGCACCTAACGCTCTGTAGTAAAATAATTTTGATTTACATTAAAAATTGTATATTGAAACTTTGAGTTATGAATTTAGTTGTATTGAAAAGAAATACTATTTATAAACAATGTCTCAATGTACTTACTCGTAACTGAAGCTACCATCTAAGTCCATTTCGTTGGAGAGACGTAGTATAGGAATAGATGGCTCTGTTGTCGATGAAAAGAATAAATTGGGGAGTTGAGAAAATTGTGAGTTATATGATTTTGAATGGTCATTAACATCGTTTCTCTGCAGTTCACTTGTTAATATCATGCGTCTAGAAGCTGTGTTTTGATTGAGTGGTTGTTGCGTTGTAACGTGTTGAAATAATGCTGGCTGATTTCCGTTAATTCTATTTTGAGGATGTTGTTCAAAACTGAACATTTTAGGAAGAGTTCTTATGTCTCTCCTTTCATGCATCTGTTCAGTTACATTTTTTGGTGATGATCCTTGATTTTGTCTTAAAACAGGTTTTGGTGACGAAATTAGTATTTGGTGTTCATCGTCATCATCATCGTCCTCATCATCAAAGTTTGGTCTCATTGTAGAAGAAAATACAACTTGGTGTGACGACGGGTAAACCGATGGTGCTTTTGTGGCACTGGGTGGCAAAAATTGGTATGGTAGTTTGTTCATGTCATTGACAGCAAAATACGGTATTGGCGTATGGGGCTCAGGTGGCAAATAAATTGAACTGTCTGAAACCATTATGCCTGAACTAGGTGTTTGAAATTGCGGTGGAAATGGAAATTGATCCTGTGTTCGTTGACATTTTGTTAGCACTCCCAGACTTGTTATTATAAAAAAATTGTGTTACCTGAAATGATATAATAAATTCAGTATCCACTTGATTTGCACATTTATTGAAACACAAACACTTCCACTTACCAGCTTCATTTTAATTGAAGCTGTTATTATTTTACAATAAAGCATACGTCACACTGACACCCTAGTAGAAAATAGACTGATAATGAAAATGAATTCCTAATACATTTATATGCACGCGATGTCCAGGCATTCGTGAAAATCTCGTGCGGATTGTTTTCTCCATTGAGCGTTAGATGTATCAGCGGAACTGAGATAATAAATACTTATCCTACTATTCTCTAATTTTGTGAAGGTAATATAATTTTTACTTGTAAATTGTTCTATAAAATGCATGTGCTATAAGCACGATGCTGCACAAATAATATATGGTAACGTACAATGTAAATTATCGAATATAATTTATAACCGAGAGCATAAATCCTGAAGGAGGAGGTTTAGAATTCACTCAATCATCAGTTATCATAGTATTGTCATACCCGTGTAATAAATATAAATAAACAATCCACAATATAGTGAAATTTTATTTATATAAAAGCGCATAATTATTTTAAAGAAACGCAGAATAAGTTTTGATAAATATTTAGATATTGCAAAAACAAAACACTGCAAACAAATTGACGTACGATCGTCTTTTTGTGGCCCTTGCTGTTTTATTAATTAAAAAAGGGTACAACCGCAACAAAGTTTATTTGAAAGGGACATCCCGATAAATGTTTCGATAAATTGGACATTCTAAACAGAATTATTTCAAAGCGTGATTCTGAAAGTGTAAATGTTGCAGTTCTTATAACGACCAATGTCAATGACCCGCAAGACTGGTTTTTTAAATATTGATATTCAAAGGGCGGCCTCGATTTTGATAAATTAGTAATTTGTTCTTTTATTTTTACACAATTAGTTTCGAACTGTTTTCGCAACTTATTTATTAATACTATTTAGTATTAAAGGTACTAAGAATAAGAATATTTATTGAATTCATTTAAACTTATTGATGAATAGGTAGCTCGGTCGGTTGTACTTGGAGACTGAATGTTTTATTAAGAAAGTTTTCCTTTTTCTCAGGTGTGAAAAGAATCAGAGGATTGCCTTCTATAAATTTAAAATTTACTTTTATATTAGCTTAAACCAAAGGCAAATGACAAGTTACTGACCTTTCAAGCTAGATAAATAAAAGGAGTATGTTATATGAATCATTTATTAAAAGTAAATTAAATCTAGAACTGGCATCGAAAATCAATATCACAAATGGTTTCGTCGCATGCAGACATCGAGTTCACAATTCATATCGTGATCAAGATATCTGCTATTCCTTAATTATAGATTATCTCATAAAAAGGCCTATTTTAGACCAAGATAACTGAGGTAACATTAAATTTGCGACTCGTAACCTACTTAACATCTGGTAACTACTTTCCATATGATTGAGGAGGGTAGAAGTTTGGTTGTTCTTGAGGGTAGGTCTGTTGTTGGCTAGGATAGCCTTGGTTTTGCTGTTGGCTAGGATAACCTTGGTTTTGTTGTTGGCTAGGATAGCCTTGGTTTTGTTGTTGGCTAGGATAGCCTTGGTTTTGTTGTTGGCTAGGATAGCCTTGGTTTTGCTGTTGGCTAGGATAACCTTGGTTTTGTTGTTGGTTAGGATAGCCTTGTTGCCAGTTTTGCTGTTGTCCGGGGTAGGTTGATTCTTGATTGGGGTATTTCTGTGGGGGTTGTGGCTTTGGCTGAGGTTGGGGCTGGGGTTTTATTTGGGTTGGTGGTTTGATTGGCTTAGGTGGGTTAAGCGCTTGCTCTTTATTTTTCTCAGCTTCAGCTTGGGCGTCAAGGGATCTGTGAAAACAATAAAAAATTAAGTAATCAATAAAACACAAGACTTAGATATATATCTATAAGTACCACAAATCATAACATTGATTTTGGTTTATAGTTGTTATATTGTTTATGGTATGACTTTAACTTTAACTTTCGTGTTCCTAATTATAATTATATTATACATGTTAGTTGTAATGTCTAAATGTCTCTGACTTTTCTAAATAATAATAATTCTTTAGTACTTACTCCTGAATCGCTGCTGGAATAGGATGGGGTGTTGGTAAGTGGGCACCAGTTGCGTGGTAACCAGTATCGTCAGCCCAGTAGGTAACTGTGTATATTTTGCCATCAGCAGCCTTGAATGAGTACATGCCCTTTTTCACTACAATTTCATTCTCAGTGTTGGGGTTTAACACATAACCTTCCTCCATAACGTGAGTGCCGTCAGCGATTTCATATCTGAATAAAAATAATAATATTAGTACTGTTTCGCTGTGTAAAAAAAATTTATTTATAATGCATGTATGTAACTATTTATATGCATATGTAACTATTTATATGCATGATCGAAAAAAATACACCCGGCATTTTCAACTTTCGCAAAGATGATCACAAAGTTTATTATTTGATATTTTTTAGATAAATAGCTGTTGACATAGACAAGCTACATAACATATTATGATAGTGGGAAAAGCAATTATTAAATTGGCTCAGTATAATTTCACGTACACTTAAAGATTGATAATACATGCGAAAGATATTAAAAATGCGGGCATTTTTATTATAATTACACCTTAAGTGGTATGTAAATATTTTGACGTCGAACTTTGCATAAAGAAAAAGGTATTAGATTAAACAGTTATAGTTTTTAAAAGGATTTGTCTACATTTATTTACGTTTTATGCTAATTAAGCTTGCGAATACAGTTAAATTAGTTATAAAAAACCGGCTGTCTGCGGATATTTATGGCAAATGTATACAATAGCGAAAACCGTTACATACTATTGCTTTTTATAGATTTTTGTTATTTACAAGTAAGAAATTTTTTGTAATTATTTACTAACGGTATGTAATAAAATGTTTTAAAAATCGCTAAAGGAGTCAAATAACGTGACGGTATAACCTAATTTAATATAAGAAAAACGCTGTTATCTTCGTGTACACCTTGTGTTTAAGTTATCTTCTATGTTATTAACATAATATATTTACATTGCGCAAAAAAAATCTTAAAAAATACTCGTATTTTTGAACCCCTGTTTAAAAATAAATAAATTTTATTTGGTTATACTTTAAAGTCAATTTCACACTCATATTCTTTAAACCCCTTAATTTATGGCGCGGTCGGCATAAATAAACCCGAGAAAGGCTTTGGTCGTTACGACCACGCGTTTATTTCCTTTGCCAAAATAAAGCTACCACGAATAACCTTGAACAGGAAAGTTCAGGTAAAAAGCTTCAGTCTGGATTTATTCAAGTCGGTCCGAATTTTACGACACAATTACGAAAATAACTACTAATTCTATAATAATTGACTGTTACAAAAAGTTTAAATTGAGATATTTCTCTCGTTTCATTTTAGTATAAACAGATAACATGATTTAACGCAACTTTATTAAAACAAAACCTCTCGTATAATTTATGCTTGATAAATGTTTTTTATTGATTTTTCATAAAACAATTGTGAGTTTTTAACTCAAACACCTGAATCAAATTAAAATATATCTATAACATGAAATCTAATTTGGTTCTCACGGTAAATATAATTAGCTTTTTGGGTAAGCGTTTAAAAACTAAACATGCGTTTACTTACTCGTATTTGTAGCTTCCATTATCACCAATCGTGTGTTCGTTCTTTATAACTGGGATAGGTGTAGTGGTTGAAGAAGTGGATGCTGGAGCCTGAGGCCATGTGGACTGTACCGGAGCACTTGTGGTCCAAGCAGGTTGGACTGGCGCACTGGTGGGCTTTTCCCAGTTGTTTGAAGGATAACCGTTGTTCAATGAATCCTGGTTGTTTGACCAGTTGTTCTGAGGGTCTGGTTTGTTCCAGGTATCCTGATTGTTTGACCAATTGTTCTGGGGGTTGTTGTAATTGTTCTGTGGTTGGTTGTAGTTGTTCTGAGGAGTGTTTGAACCGTAGAACCTTGGTCGCACAACGCGGCGTTTTATTTTTCTTCTTGGCGTCTCGCTTATGACGATTGGTTTAGGTTCGACTTCCGTTGATGGCAATCCAAGCAGGCTCTCAATATTTTCTTCAGGCTTTATTTCGTCCGCTAACGAAATAGCAAGAAATACGGCGAATATGCAAAGCTGTAACAATAGAAATAAAGAATAGTAAGGATAGGCAAAATAAAAGATTTCTAATTAATTACTAACAAGGTAACAGTCGTTGTAAAACAGCATCTCATTAAAGTCTGTGTTATAAATTATTTTATGTTAATTTAAGAATTAGTTTGTTCACTCGCACTTTTAACTAAATATATTAAATTTTAAGAAACGAATAAATTCACTAAGCACTGTTCACTGAACGCCAAGGACTCACCAGTTTCATCTTGATGTCCTTCCGAGTCCGCGTCGTGTTCGAAACTGTGTCTGTTTGGGGTCCTCCGAGATTTTTATAGGAAAATCATCCTTCGTCCTCGTTGCTCATCTCATGGGCCTGACGACACATTGACCTCACTGATACCTAAATTTTGGAGTTAGGGAAACGCATTTAGTTCTAAAGATATGACATCATGATTTATTTTAACGAATTAAATTTACACAGCAGTTTTTATATTATGAGCTTATTGTTGGAATTGTGAACATTTCGAGTTTATTTCGCTAGTATCAATGAGTTGCAAGGTTAGTACAGTCATTCATAAAATATCGTAGGAGTAAGTAAGTGGGTTAGGTAATGTGATAATATATGTGAATCAAACTAATTGCTATAAAGGACATATGCTAGGTTTAACAAAAAATATGATCTGTTGTCTCAGAGTTAGTTGTACTTTTAACCAAGTAAACACGCGGTGAGAAAATATTACACTAGACATAATTAATGTTGAACGTTTTAGTAATTTAGAAGGTATTAAAGATAGAGGATAATTGATCACTTTTAAGTGAACGTTTTGACCATCTTATTTAGATTGACAATAAACTCCACAAGAAATTTAGTAATGTAAAAATTGGAAAAAACAAAACAAAGTAGTAATCTAATTTACCAGCTACAAACGAGCTTTGTGGTTTGACAGCACTTTGACAGCTTATAATTACTTCCACAGTAGATATCGTCGCCGCAAAAAAGCTTTTTAAATTGCTTAAAGCATCGTCAGTCTTGACATAAAGTAGTATTGTAGAACAAATTAAGTTATCGGTTAATCAGGCTTCGTCGTCGGTACTTCAAGCCCTCAAAATACGTGAACAGACTTCTCATCTTGTTATTTACAGCAATGTGGGTTGATAAGCTTAACCGGGTCTTGAAATGAAGATTTATTATAATAAAAAAACGCTAAACTTGCTGCGTATAAATAACTTGTCTGATAGACGATCTTTTTCATAAACAACATGGGAATGTTTGGTCCTTTAATTTGCAAATTGACACGAATGGTGCGTTTTTAACTAGTCTCATTATAAACGCTTTTGCTTCTTCAGGCTTTAATCTATGTGTGATATTTAAAACCCTTTACCTTTTATTATTTCAGGCGTGATAACGTTCTAGATACATCTTTTTATTTGTTTATTTATTTAGTACCTACTTTAATTTCTTGTACCAATGTATCAGTGTGCGATGCGTTAGCAAGCTTTAGCAATAAATAAAATAAATATTTACAAAATATTAAAAATATACGTTGTGTAAAGAAGTGTTTTAGCCGAACTAAATATTTCTACTAATATAATTTTAACTTAAGTTTCGTGATAAGTGAGTACTTCTATACCCGGATCCAATGACTATCCATAGAACGTTCATCAACTTCAAATCAACTGATTATTTAACAAATTATTTTTTCTGTAATATTTAATGCCTTAATCTAGTTTAAAAGTCTAGACTAATCTAGACTTGCTCAAACTTAGTTATCAGATTAACAAACAGAACAGAAAATAAATGGATTTCTCGAAGTGTTTTCCTAAATATATGTAAGCGATCCAAGTTATACCTGAGATCAAAGATTATTTCAAACCGTCATTTAATTTTGATTATGTGATTGTGTTTACACACAGAACACCTTGTTATTGGTTTATGAAAATCAATAACTTGATATCGTTAGAAGATATTTGTTCGTTTTTCCGCATCGAAAACGAATGAAAAACACAAAGTGAAATCAACGATGTGTAAGCTTTCATAACATAATACCTTATTGGAACCTCAATAACATGAAAAAATTGTTAAAGCCTCTTATACTATTCGGTTTTGCGCGTTTAGCAAGTTTTAAGTTCCGTTAAAAGAAAAATTGTAGATACAAATGTATGTTGAGAACTTTGAGTAATTTAACAGTCTAATAAATATATAAATTCCTAAACATGCCATCGAATCTGCAAGTTTCCACCTCAAAGGGAGCTTTGTGCCTTTTTAATAAAAAAAGGTTTTCTGATTAAAATAAATTCAGCAATTTACATTGAAAAAAATTAAATTCATGTCATCCATAGGGTAATTTGTGGTTTATCATTGTCAATTTTAAGCGAAGCTTACCCAAAAATACAGGAAAAATTGGAATTAGAAATGAGTCAGATTCGAGGACAAAATGATGGTAAATTTTGTTATTTTTCAATGAATTAGTAACAAAGATTTCGGTATGAATCATAATTAATTTTATTGTGCGTTTAATTTTAAGATTCAACATTGTTAGTAATTTATAAAGAATCTTCGACTAATGTTGTAATGAAGCACATAATTTGATTTTAGGCTTATCGTCCTGTCCTAAGTGGATTTATATCTTGACAATAAAATAAAAGTCATATCAAGGATGGAATGCATTAATATATGCTGATATGTCCCCTAATTCGTCGGCCCGTCAGTATAAATGGAACCAGGGACTGCGTTAAATGCATCGCTAAATAAACACTTTGCAATCCAAGATTTAAGCTACTTGGCTTTTGTTTTCGGCGTTCTAATTACGAATTAAGTGATTAAAAACTAGAGTTCTCACGTTAATCATGTCGCAATATTCTAAATTCAAATTATAAATTATTAATATTTATTTAAGTATGTATTACTATTAATTTATTTATTTTAAATAAAGAGAACAATACAATTATGAAGATACGCACAGAGCCTAAATCAGAAGATGTACTCATTCGATGCTTTATTCCTGGAAACTAATTAACCTTAGAAATATCTTCAAGTTCATTACCTAAAATTTAAGGCTTCGAAAACATGAGTATTTTGCCCCTCGATAAGGGCCAATCCCCAAGTTTATTGCTCAGCCTTTGTCCCATAATGTATTGGGCGGAATCTTCATGAAACATTATTGAGTTACTGGGATATCTTGGAATGTATTTGCGGCTAAATTCGCTTCTTATATAAAAAATATAAGAGCTCTTAAAATTATTGAATTATATAAATCCTTGTATGGGGTTATTTATTGCACTTATTTCAACCTCCTATCGCTGTTTTAATGGCAGGGTATGCTAATACTATCATCATTCAAATGTTTGTGGTAAAATTAATGAATCGGTAATAAATTATCGGGTATCTTTTTGGTACCGCGATTTGCATAGTACTTAGTAGACGCCTTAGTTATAAAAAAAAAATTCCCACGACCTTCTCGTTCTAAAGTTTTTGCCTAATCCATAATAAAAATATATCTAAATGTTCAGTAACATGCTCCGCCGCCCATTTGTTTAAGGATGCTAATTATCGAACAACTTCCTTTAATTGTCAGTCTCATCTTTAAGCTTGTCTTATATATTACTAGCTGACCGGGCAAACGTCGTTTTGCCATATATATAATTTATAATAAAAAAATAGGGGTTGATCGTAGAGGGGTGAAGGTTAGGGGTTATATCATAAAAAAATAAAAACAGAAAACGTTATCTAAAAATAAAAAATAAAAATTTAGGGGTGGACTACCCTTAACATTTAGGGGGATGAAAAATAGATGTTGTCCGATTCTCAGAAATACCCAATATGCACACAAAATTTCATGAGAATCGGTCGAGCCGTTTCGGAGGAGTATGGCAACGAAAACTGTGACACGAGAATTTTATATATTAGATTAGGTCAGCGACAGCTAAGCATTAAACTTAACCTAACACCTGTTGCTGCAAAAAGACACTAGTTACCAAATGCGATAGAACTTTTTCGTTACTGAGATATACTTATTATAGATTCAGAGACAAATAAAAATATTTCCAGCTGTTAAATGCTAATTGGAGTTTGACTATGTACTTGTTTGAATCCTAAGACTAAGAGTTGTACTCCTCTTTTTGGGTTTTTTTTTAGAATTAGAATGCTCGTATGCCATTATGTTCATGGACGTGTTTTTTAAATTTTTATAGCTTATAAATTAATAATATTTTAATTATATGTCACATTGAACTAACGGCAGATGACTGCCTAAACTAATTCTTTACAGTATATTGATGAGATCAACAATGATGAGGGATAATGATCATGAAATTTGTAATGAATGTATTTGGCAACAGGTAGCTCTTATCCTTTAAGCTTTAGGTTAATTCTTGCTTGACAATACATACTGGGCATATATACGTATATAATAGTGATCTATAAACATCATATCATCATAGGTCGCATAAAATAAACAAAAATACCGTCACATCCTTCAAGAAAAGGCCGTACCAATTCTTAAAAGGCCGGCAACGCACTCGCGAGCCCTCTGGCATTGAGAGTGTCCATGGGCGGCGGTATCACTTAACATCAGGTGAGCCTCCTGTCCGTTTGATCCTGTTCTATAAAAAAAGATCTCTCATTATTTTCTTCTTCTTATATATAATCTTAGTTTTAAAAAAAATTGTGTTTCTTAAGACTTCTGTATTTTGCCTACTAGTGAGTATATTTTCTCATACACTATGTTGTAGTATTATTACTGAGAAATAAATATCTTAAACCTTACATATAGTCCATTTTGATATAGGCAAACATGCAAATACACGATCTAGTACTATAAAGATCTGAAAGTTAATAATCATATAAAGGAATTTTTATCACTTACAGTCTAATAAACTTATAACTAGACGATGATGATATCATTGTGATCATTTAATTGGAAAATAAAATTATAAGGTATTGAATATAAGAATCCGAGTTTATTAATCTATAACGTATATTATTTTTATTTAATGATACTTTGGAATTCAATTGATAAATTATATATAAGTACTCACATCAAACAACATAGTAATTTGAACTACATCTATTACATAGTACAGTATTTAACTCCTGGTGCTTTGTATAATGTAAATAAATTAAACTAAACTCCTGAATGTTTTAATGAATAAATATTATTCTAAGAAACCTATTATTAACCTATTTCAATTTAGAACAACTATAACTTTGGAAGCTGAGTTTGAGCATAACTAATACGATGTTGACATACAGAAGTCTCACTCCCG